ATTAAATCTGAACAGACTCCAATTTGTTTTATGATTTGAAAACGTGGGGTATTTATTTGTATTATATACATGTTCCATCACATCAATAAATATGGGAGAATGGTCCGACGAAAGGTTAAAAGAAGGTTTAATGTCTAAAAAGTTGTTACTTATTCCTTTTATGATACCAAAATCGATGAGATCGGGTATTTTATTTCTATCTGTAGGCCAACTCCAGATCTAAATCGGAGTAATAACTGTGAACCATATCCACATCGTATAAAAATCTTAATCAACGAAAAGAGAAAACTAAGAAAACAGTGGCAAACTTCCAGATCTCCTGAGAACAAAACTGAACTGAATAGCGCTACTCGTTTGCTTAAAAGAGAATTACACAAATACAAAGATCAGGGCATAAATGAATTTCTTGAAAGTCTTACTGCGACGGATGACACAAACTACTCTATTTGGAAACTCTCTAAGAAACATTAGATTAAGCATGACGGTCCCATTAGAAATAAAGACGGTGATTGGGCCAAGGCCGATGAAGATAAAGTACAAGCATTCGCTAATCATCTCAGCCAAGTTTTTCAACCACACTCCAGAACTATCTTAAGGGAAGAAGAAGAATTCATTCACAAGAACTTAGATGCACCCTACCAGATGTCACCTCCTATAGAAAATATCAAAATTAACGAAATAAAAGAGTTAGTTAAACATCTCAATACTAAAAAAGCTCCAGGGTATGATTTAATATCGGGAAAAATCTGCAAAAATTTACCCGAAGAAGGATTTCGGTTGGTTATGTACATATTTAACGCTATACTAAATTTAGGCTATTTTCCGTTTCAATGGAAAGTGACACAAATTATTCTAATACCGAAACCAAATAAAGATCCACAAGAACTATCATCCTATCGTCCAATCAGTTTGCTTCCCATTATCTCTAAGATATTTGAGAGAATACTCCTTCAGAAAATGAATTCTATAATCGACAGACAAAAGTTAATACCTGATTATCAGTTTGGATTCAGGCAACAACATGGAACAATTGAGCAGGTGCACAGAGTTGCCAAAGTAGCAAGAGATGCGATTGAAAAGAAAGAATACTGCACTGCAGCCTTTTTGGATGTCTCACAAGCATTTGATAAAGTATGCACTTTCCTCATCCTCTGTATGCTCTTCTGAGATCCTATCTTACCAATCGATATTTCCAGGTCAAATGCAATGAAGCAGTATCAAACATATCTCCAGTTCTATCGGGAGTATCTCAGGGTAGTATATTGGGACCAACTTTATACTTACTCTATACGACAGATATTCCCACAAGAGTAAACAGCACAATCGCTGCCTATGCAGATGATACTGTGATAATGGCTCCTAGCTCGGTTTCTGTTACAGCCTGTCAAAATTTACTAATTCATTTAAATGAATTAGAGAAATGGTTAAAACTGTGGCGAATTAAAGTAAATGGCAGCAAATCAGCACATATAACATTTACTTTACGCAAAGAGAGTGTACCATCTGTGTGCATAAATAATACCATAATACCCAAAAAAAGTGATGTTAAATACTTGGGAATACATTTTGACAGCCGACTAAATTGGGGAAAGCACATCTGGACAAAGCGACTGCAACTAGGATTAATATACATATTAAGTCTACATAATAAATTATTATTGTATAAATGTGTTCTAAAGCCAGTTTGGACCTAGGGTATATAGATATGGGGTACAGCATCTAATTCTCACTTACTGAAACTTCAACGTTTCCAATCTAAAGTTTTGAGACATATTACCAATGCACCGTGGTACGTGCCCAATTATGTTATACACAGAGATCTTCAGATCCAAAATATTAAAGACACCGTTGTCTCACTCAGTGGCACTTACAAAAATAGACTACTAAACCATCCAAATACACTTGCCCAAGACCTACTTAAGCGACCAAGGAGAGGAAGACTAAAACAACGTGATCCTCTAGACCTCTCTATACCGTTATATACATAAACGTATATATCATTTTATAGCTACAACTTATACTACATATACCTACAACTTATAATTGTGTGTGTTGTTATAATTTTAACTATTGCTATTTTTTTTAATATGTTAGTAAAATGTCTTTGTAAATTGTTGTTTATATTTCAAATATTTATATATATTAGAAATTTATCTTAAGGATTTCTGTCACAGGACTGATCTCCCCTATGTTAATTACTTGATAAACATATTGATTATTGTTTTTTTATTTGTAGAAACAGATTTCAATAAATAAAGGATGAAAAAAAATTTTTTTTTTAAATTTTGTGTGATTGCAAATAAAACAATATAGATTTAGTGTCATTTTTACCACCAGAACATAGGAAGTTATGTTTATAATCCTAATACAAATTCTTATCTGAAAAGTAAATTTTAATAATAGCAATCTACTTTAATAGTATATTAATAATCTTTCCTTTTAATTGTTGTTATTAAGGTTTAATGATTTGCCGTTAATCTGTGGTAATAAAGTTCAAGGCCCTAGAAAATATTCCTTCACTACTTCCTTGATGGTACGTAGGAAAACGTAAACGCATAGCGGTATGCATTTCCGACTCAACTCATAGTAAAACAAATGAAAACTGTATAACTGTAATTTGTGCATAAAATTATAGCGTGAATTACGTTTAAAATATAGATATTTTACACAACTTAAGGAAATTTCAGTAATCTATAATCTGTAATATACTCTACTTCCCTCTATTTTACCTTTAAGAATCAGTTGTAATATTTTATATCGGCTTGCCCTTACTATACGTCCCAGATAAGATAAGACATTTTTCGATATATAACAGTCTTTAGTAATAGAGGTGTGCTTATTAGTTCTTTTAGACGAACTAGTTCAAGAGAACTATTTCACAAAAATGAACTAGTTCATGAAAGAACTATGTGTAGGACCGAAATCGAAATCCAACCCTAACATAACTGGTTGCCAGATGTCTCGTCTCAATCACCACACAAGCTCGGCGCCGACCTCCCGTTTTCTTTTTCTTTGGTTGCCACTGCCAGTTGCCAGTCAGTCTTTCACTACCATACGGTGTACAAGTAGTTCGGATTCGGAAACATTTCTTTCAATTGTATGTTAAGGTTTAAATGTTTTAAATTATTATATGATTAGTTAGTTTTTCTTTATAATAACTTATTTTCTTAATCAATCCCAAAAGATGAGTAACAGACGAAATAGAATTTTTTTAATAAATCATTTCGAGAAAAACAGTAAAAATTAAAAATCTGCAAAATGTAATTGCTGTTCATGTGATATTAGTATTTCAAGTTGTTCACTGGGCAATTTATCAAGACATTTAAGAATGAAACACCCTGCTATTAATCTCAAATATATCAATGTTGAAAGATACATAGAAAAAGGACCTGAAAAATTAGAAAATACATTTCAAGAGCCTCAACCTTCAACATCAAAATCAGTATCGCTAGTAGGACAAGCAAGGGAAGATGATAAGAAAGCAGTTATAATTCTTAAGAAAAAGCCTGCTCCTACTCCCTTGTTTCTATCAGGGACTATGTAATTGTACTTGACTGTAACTTATTTATATGTTCTTGCTTCAATGTCCATATTGCAGTATTGAAAACATGTAGCATCTCAGTTCTAATCTAAGGTCTTTGTTGCAGAGAATTGTTTCCATTTTTACCAACGCATTTCTTGCTATTTCTATCCTGGCTCTTATTTTGGTTGTTTGATCATTGTTGTCTGAAATCCAGGTTCCTAGGTATTTGTATTTATCAACCCATCCCACTCACAAAATAATAAATATATGATATCATTTATTAATTATTTTTTGTTCTTTAGAAGTTAAGACACAATTTATAATACAAATCATTCGCTGTGAACTAGTTCTATGTAAATTAATGAACTAGTTCAATTAGTTCAGTTGAAAGAATCGTTCATTTGAACTATTTCGATGGTGAACTACACATCCCTATTTAGTAGTTCTCTATCTTTGTTGACGCTCCTTAGTACTTCTTTATTAGTTTTTCTTGCTGTCCAAGGTATTTTCAGCATTCGTCTATAAATCCACATTTCCAATGCTTTAATTTTGTTCATGATACTTTTAGCATTTATACTGGTCCGAGTAAACATTGAACAATGTTGGTGACAAAATGCAACCTTGTCTGACTCCTCGTTGTATGGAGATTTCGTCGGTGTAGTTATCTCCAATTTTTACGATAGCATCTTGTATCCAGTACAAATTTTTAATGACATAAATATCCTTGACATCTATTCCGATATTTTTCAGTATTTACATTATTTTACATGCTGTACTTTATCGAATGCCTTTTCGAATTCCATGAAACATGCAAATGCATATTTTCTTTGGTTACGGCATATTTGTAATAGGATGTTAAGCGCAAAAAGTGCCTTCCTGGTTCCCATAGCATTTCTAAAACCAAATTGGGTATCTTCAAGATCTTCTTCGCATTTGCGTCTAATTCTGTTGTGAAGTATTCTTAGGAAAATTTTAAGAGTGTGGCTCATTAGGCTACTTAATCGATATTCTAAGCATTTTCTCGCATTGTGTTTTTTAGGTATTGCGACAAAGATGGATTTGAGACAATCTGTGGGAATCACTCCGGTGTTATATATTGAATTTAAAAAGTCTTACTACTACTTTTATGTTATCATTCTCTATTAGTTTCAGCAACTCAGTTGGTGTATCATCTGGACCACAAGCTTTTCTATTTTTAGCATTATTTATAGCGGGTTTAACCTCACATTTCATAATGTCTGGGCCCTCAGTATAGTCTTGGTAGAATTCGGCAATATTATGCCTGTCATCTTCAAACAACTCAGTCCTTCAAACATTCCTGTCAGTATTTAAATGAAGGAATTTGCTAAAACTTGTCTTTTATTGTCTTCTTCAGTTATTTCACTCTAGACAAAACGGAACAATTATGTTTCTCCCGAATTTTTACAATAACTGCCGAGAGAACTTATAAAAAAAAAAAAGAAAAAGATATACTCACGAGAAGTAAAGCCAGACAATTTAAATGCAGTGGCATCACAGGTAGATTGTTAATTTTCCTCATCTGAAAATAAAAATAAATAAAATTAATATATAATATTTATCTTTCAAACAGAGCATTGTAAATAGAGGTAATCCAAATTAGTTTCTTTATTTTAATATTTATGAAATTAATTATATCTAAATTTAATTTAATTCTTTGCTGAACAAATTCTCCCAGGGTAAAGCTTTTCTTGTGTTCATGTCGTTTTAAAAATTCTGCCGTAATTTCAAAAATGTTTTAAAGGCATGACTCATTAAAACAATTTTTCTATGGTCTAACCATGTTGCTTCATTTGACTTATTGGAGATTGCTACAAATATCAACAAATTTCGCATGAAAAGGCAGATATAATAAATTTCTATCTAGGGCTTTAAGATCGGAAAACAATGTATCATTAAAAACTACGTCTGGGAAAGCCGACGCTTTTTGATAAGAAACATTTGCTGGCAATTATTAATAATAAATTATAATGACAGTAAAATTTATTTTCTGATACTTAATACTATTGTTATTAGCATATTAACTAATAGATATATTATGAAAACAGATGTCACATATTATAAATCTTTATAGTGCATTAATGAGTTGTTGTGTAAAATCTAACAAAATATTAGTAAGAAATGGCAATAAAAATATTATTTTAGTGCTAATGTAAATATTTACTAATGCTGGAGAAATTACACAAGAGTTACAAGAATTTAACCTGAAAGTTTTAGCTTGACAACATTCTGCGATCTGTTAAATTTATTACTATAATATGTACTTAGTTTTAAAATAAACGGTTTAGCCTCATAGCTTGCACAGTAGTGATACTTTTAATTTTTTTTTTAATTCTAGTTCCAGGCTAATATTCCCGGACTAGTAAGCGGATTTGTTTTGTAGTAATAATATTCTCTGTATAAAATTTGTTCTTATGTTGATCTGTAGTTCAAAGCTGTATCAGAAGATAGAAAAAACACATTTATCAATAAATCAATCTAACTGGCAGTATATGCAAATACGACAAGTACATCAAACGACTGAGCTCAAATAATGCCATAGGGCTGATGGCAAGGTGATAAGTTACAAGCTTATCAATGAGATTGCAAAATCTTTTTCGATAAATCTAAAAAACCGCGCGACGTTATTTAAAAGTATTCAAAAATAAGAAACTATCTACAATAAGACAATCTAACAGCTGAGAGATACAGAAAGAGCGAGAAGGAAAGAGAAGCACAGAGTAAAAAAACAGTTCTCTGCAGCTATGAAAATCGCCAGATTATATTTTTTCCGTAATCCTTAAGGATTTCCTTCAAAATAAAATAGAATTCCCCATTTCCTTACACCACTCTCAAATCGTCAGATTATTGAAATATACACTGTTCTTCATGTACTTAACTTACCTTTTCTTAATCTGACGTGCTCGAGTTTTTCTTAGTATCGATTTTTTTTACTAATCTGACGGACTGCGCACAATACATGCCTCTGTATTAACGGTTCATATGGGGTAGGGGTACATTACAGGGAACAAAGCTTCTCCTCATATCATTTTTTGAGTAACAGGCAAAATCCCCGCTTGGTCTCCGCTACTATTATGTCTTTTACCCATCTTTTAAGGTTAGAACATGATTTGACGTTTACTATTGTTTTATTTGGCTTTTAATGGCTAGTTTTTGATTTCTTTTGCTATGGTAACGTATTAGTAAATATTTTTCTTTTATTAATTTATTTGTTTAATTTTTTATTTGCTGCTTATTGTACGTGTATGATATTTTTAAAATTTTTACTGACATTTCGATATATCGAAGGTACATATATCCTTCTACACCTCAGAATACAGGGCAAGATCGGTGGCAGAAGGGGCACAGGCCGAAGAAATCCTGGCTCCGAAATCTCCGAAAATGGTATCAAGAGACATCCGCTAATCTGTCTTGATTTGCCGTAAACAAAGTTATTATTGCCAATATGATCGCCAACGTTCGATAATTCTAATAAAAGAAGATAATTCGAAATGTTTAGTTTAGTGTTAACTTTTTAATTTACGTAGATATTCCTTTGTTATAGTGTATTTTTATGTATGAGAGAGTAATAAAACAATAAATTATGTATGCAAATCCCTAAACTGTTGATACGGGTGACTTAATAAAAAACAGATATTTGTCAACAAGTTTACAGAAGTATATAGGAAAACAATTTTAAATTGAGTATGACCACCAGGTATAAAGGTTGGAGCAGAGTAGAATACAATAGTTGTGAGGGTTACTAATCCCTAAATAAGGTTGCCAGTGTCGGAGTGATGGAGGTTAACAGGTACTAGTGAATTTGCAAGAAATGTAAGATGTTTATTTTATTGGTTATATATAACCAATAAAAGTTTAATAAGTACCTACCTATTTGCAAAATAAAGTTTAATTCTTTAACATTAATATTTAATTGTTTTAAATCATTTACAGACAAACGTTTATGTGAAAGTGTTGATGAGACCGTTGAGTTAGTTAGCAGTACACTTGGTGTTGGGAAATCTACGATTTACAGAGTTATTAAAGAAGAGAAATGTGGTAGTTTTCAAATGCCACGTAATGCTCCAGGAAAACTAAAATTTCAAATAGAATATCATTTTAAAGAAGCACTTCGACGGAAAGTGCATGAATTCTTCTTTAGACAAGAATTTCCAACATTGGATAAAGTTCTTGTCTCAGTTCGAGATGATAAGGATTACCCAGAAATGAGTCGAAGTACGTTATGGAAACTTTTAAAAAAAATAGGCTTCCGCTGGAAAAAGAATCCCAGAAAGTCTATTTTATTAGAAAGAAGCGATATTGTCATATGGAGAAGACATTTTCTAAGAACCATAAAGGAAATGAGAAACCAAAAAAGAAAAATATTTTATCTTGATGAAACATGGATCAACGAGGGTCATACACCAAATAAATTTTGGCAGGATGAAACTGTTACAAGTCAAAGGCACGCTTTTGTAAATAACTTATCTACTGGTTTAAACCCACCATCAGGAAAGGGACGCAGGCTGATAATAGTACACATTGGCAGTTCAGACGGTTTTGTTGACGGTGGTTTATTAACTTTTGAATCAACTCGTACCGGTGACTACCATGAAGACATGAACGCTGATGTCTTTCAAGAATGGTTCGAACAAATGATAGATCTTCTTCCTAAGAACTGTGTAATAGTAATGGATAATGCAAGTTATCACTCCAGACTTATAGAAGGACTGCCCACAACCAAGTGTTTAAAAAAAGACTTGCAGAATTGGCTGAGTTCAAAAAATATTACGTACCATCCCGGATCTATAAGAAAGGAATTTTATTCGTTGTGTGCCCTTCATAAAGAAAAATTGAAAAAATACGAAATTGATGAAATTGCCAAAAATCGTGGAATGACAGTACTTAGATCCCCACCATATCATTGTGAATTAAACCCGATTGAACTGGTATGGGCACAGATAATGAGTGAAGTTTCAAGAAAAAATACCACTTTTAAAATTCATGATGTTAAACAGTTGTTTTTGGAGGCCGTAAATAATGTAAAACCTGAAAACTGGGAAAAGGCAGTAAATCACACTATTAAAGAAGAGGAAAAAATGTGGAAGCTGGACAATATTATTGATAAAATGATCGAGCCAGTTATTATAAATCTTGGTTCTGAAAGTTCATCTTCTGAATCTGATTTGGATTTGTAACAAGTAGCTGTAAGTTTTATATTAATATTTTTATTCATCTATTTAACATACCTTAGACGGTTTTAAAAACTCTTTTTCTCTTTTGTAATTTTTAAAAATTAAAAAAAATGTGAATTTTTTAAAACCCTTTTTAATGTAGGCCAGTCAGTTCTAATATAGTGTGTGATAAAAGAAGTCACTTTTGTTTATATACACATAACACTTTATAACACTGAAATAATTTATTTATTTTTTACAATTATTCAAAGTAATTTTTCAATTAATCTTGAGCACGCCCATGGAGTGGTCGAAGGTACCAGTTAAAATTATGCTAATTACTCTCTCGTTCATAAAAATAAACTATACTAGTGTTGAATCTTAGGTTTGTATATTGTCCAACTTGCCAATGATTATATCTTCCTTTATTTAATCTTTAATAATATCTCACAACAAAAACCAGTTTATAGTCACTTCTCAAGTATGACCTTAATTTCCTAAAATAATACCTCTAGACATTTAAACTGAACGGCTATGTAATAGATTATGACACAATTTAAAATTTATATTACATTATAGCCCAGATTATTAAAGTGCATGAGTGAGAGTTATTATAAAGAGAACGTGTCCTAAGGCTACAAATATAAATAAGTTTAATTATTGTCTCAGGAATACGAGTATACCTTATCTCGTAGTTAATTCTAAAATAAATTGTCTAGTTCTTCCGACAGAAAAAACATTAGTGTGACTAAAGAACTGCCTTTCACCCTAATTAATATGCCTGATATTTTAATATGGTTACATTTAATTTTCCTTTCCCCTCTTTCTTTATGTTCTTACAAACTATTTTTTTGATATTATTGTATAATTACATATCCTTTTTGGGAGCATAAGATTCCCATTTTATTAGTTGGTTATTCGTACAATTTTATCAATTTACACTTAATCCATCAAAGCTAGCGTTTTATTATCCAGTTATTTAAATAACTTACATTTAAGTAGAACACTTAATAGACCAGCATCAGTGAAAACCTAAAAGTAAGTATTTCCATTTTAATGAATTATTGACTGTTAAATTGAAAAAAATGTGGTAAATACTTACATAGTTAGCAATTGAAACTAGCAAACTAATAAAGGTGTAATAATCTTTGAGTTACATAGTAAATGTATTAAAAATTAAAAGCGACATGAAGTTGAAAAGATTTCAGTTTATGGAAATATACTGAACCCTACTCAAAACATACATCTATGTCCTAGGGAAGATACCAGCCAACTGAGTGTTAGATCAGAAAGTGAAATTACTTAGAATTGACAAGGTCTTCAATACAAGTGATAGTTTATTTTTTGTTAGTAGTCAAAATTCAACGCC